ACCCATCAACCTCTGTCACCTCTTGTACCCTCCTTGGGCTGGGGAGACACCTGTGCTTCTCTCTCTCATTCTCACTGGCCTCCCACTGGTAGCTCACACGTACTCCTGGGACTCAAATCCAGCAGTCAAGAGGACCGTTGAATGTCTAGTTCTGTAGCTCCCATGCCCCGGGCGGCCCTCACAAAACATCACCTTAGACTGGTGCCTCAATAAGCAGCTGGCACCAGGGTAGCACACCCAGTTAACCGAGAGCTTCAGTGCTCAGGGGGCCGAGCAGGTTCAACTGTCCCATTTGCAAGGCAGGAAACCAAGGCTATGGGAGTGACATCACTTGTCAGAGTTACCAGGTGATCAGTGGTGGAGGTGGCCCTCGAATCCAGGAAGACACCTGGCTCACTGGCTGAGCAGAACAGTGCTCAAACTAGGTGGAGGGCAGTCCCCGCCCATGGCTGTAAGGGTATATCAGGCTGAATAAACCATAGCTATTGAGACCGTAGTGTCAGCTGAGATCATGGCCTCAATGAGTTCAGCTGAGGAAACCATGGAATCTCCCAATAGCAACCTCACAGGAGTAAGAGGGGTCTCTCTAAAAGAAGGGCAGGCTGGGCAAGGGTGTAAGCACTCTGTGACTAGTGACCTTGGAGTCAGCCTGCTGGGCTCTGTGATGGCAGAGTAAGAACTTACTGGTCTTACCTTTCAAAGTCAAGTTTGGTTTGTAGGAAACTTTCCCTAATAGTAGTGTATATTAGTTATATAGATTAATGGGTTTCACTTTGGCAGATTTGCACATGTATGCAGCATACTTTGGGATTTCCATTCTCTCATTTCCTCCCTTGCCATCCTTGCCTGCCCAAACGTCTTGATGAAGTCAGCCCTAACTCCACCGAAAGTGTTCAACAAAGCAAAGTGGGTCTTCTCTGACCCACAGTAGTCAGATCAGGATCACATCGGTCCCTGGAGAAGATCTAGATCCAGGGGATCCTAGGGGTGGCCTAGGGACACTAAGTCATTATTCTTTTTTCCACCTTTCATTACTGGGTGTCTCAGGGCCCTTGCACTCAGCTATATCCTCAGCCCTTTTCAAATTTTTTTATTTTGAGACAGGGTCACATTAAGTCTCTAAAGTTGCCCATGATGGCCTTGAACTTGTGATATAATCCTGTCTCGGCCAGGTGTATACCAGCATGCCCAGCCAAGAAGCCATTATTCATGTCCTATCTACATCTGGCACAGTACTCCCTGCTGGGCACCAGGTATGAGGATGAAGTGAAGGCTGCAAAAGAAAGCCCTTGGAAAGCTACAGAAGCACCAGGAGGTAACCATGATGAGAAGTATGAGCCTCCACATTCTTTCTTTTTTGGTCCTGGGAATCAAACTCAGGACCTTGCACTTGCCAGGCAAGTGCTTATGCCACTGGGCTACAACCTGGTCCCAAGCCCCGCATTCCTATACAATAACAATGCGGGGAGACCTGACAGGCCAGGACAGCCTGAAGACTGCCTGCTGAAGAGGGGCCAACAACAGGGTAAAGGGCACATAACTTGCTGGCTAATTTCAAAGTCTATTCTCTCCATGTAAACATGTATTTGAAAACTAATGTATGCAGTTTTAAAAACAGGTATTCCTGAACAAGACAGGACAACCCCACTTTACAGGACTGGCTTTCTGATGCTGTACAATCCCAAAGGGTAGTCTGGTTTCCTCTTGATCTGAGAGGTCTCTTGGCCTGAGAAGGCTAGGAAGCCTCCTGCTTGGGAGGGGAGAAGCCTCACAGTGGCAGCTGGGATCCTGCTTCCCTTATGACCCCCTTTCTGCCTGCAGTGAAGCCTGCTCCAAGATTCTGCAGACGTTGTTTTGTGGGGACAGGACTATGACAGCTCTGCCCCCCTTATCCAAGTCCTGGCCTCCTTATGTCCCTTTCTCTACTCCACACCAAAGGTTCTGCCTGGGTCAGGTTCTGTCTACTCTGCTCAGTGTCCCACCACATGGAGAACAAACTCTTGGGCTGCTGCCTCTATTATTCCACACAGAGGACCTACAGCCTCTTTGCTAGGGACACAGGACTCCCCTAGATACACAGTTCCCAGATGACTTCAGTGGCCCTAGCAGGCAACAACTTGGAGTCCTGGCTCTGATATCAGTAGCCAGTCCCAGTACTTTCCAAGGGTGAGAATGGATCTCAGGTAAGATGAGGGAAGCTGCCATCTTTGCTCTGAGGGTTGCAGAATGGCTCTCCTGAGCAGGGCTGGGATTAAGTCACGAGGTAGAGGGGAAGTCGAGGAGGCGCTTCCGGTTCTGTCATGAAGATGGCCCACCCCTGTGGAGCCCTGGTAATGATAAGGGTAGAAGCAGGCATAGCACCTGTCCTAGCAGCAGCAGCCAGCACCCAGTCAGGCTGAGCAGAAAGCAGGCTTTGAGGATTATAAGCATCCATAATAAAGTGCCTTATTCCTGTCACCCAGGGGCTACACACTCTGTGACTCAAACACCCATGGCCACCAACCATTGCAGTCCCAATGGTTGTCCCTGGAAGGATGTTCTGCAGAAATGAGATGCAAGGGACTTGGAAGGCACCATTTCCCTCTAGGAGGCCACTTGGAAGTAGACCTCAGCTGTACTCATCATCTGCTCAGTCCTGAAGTTGTTCTGAGCTCTGGGAAGGGAAGGGACTATGAGGCAGGGGAGGACAGAGCAGAGTATAGTTTAGACAGATGTCTTTGTAGCGGGAGTCAGTGCTAGGTTGGCCAGACTCCTACTCTCCAGAACTCAGAACAAACTTCAGGACCGAGCAGATGATGAGGACACTCTCAAGGCCAGTGTCCATAGACTATGCTAGGAGAACAAGCCCTGTGGGAAGCATGGTAGTGGCTGCCTGGCTCTAGGCCTAGGTGAAGGCTGCTCAGTCTGTAGGCTTGCCCTCTGCTGAGCCAACCCAAAAGGAGCAGGCTCGGGGCTGGAGGTTTAGCTCAGCGGCATAAACACCTGCCTTGCAAGCAGGTGATCATGAGTTTGATCCCCAGTACCGATAAAAATGAAAAAGACCAAAAAAAAAAAAAAAAAAAAAAAAAAAGGAGCAGGCTGGGGGGATCCAAAATGCCCTGGTGGGGAGAACTCTGACTGTGGCTAGAACACCAGAGATAGAGCCCTAAAGGAAGGTAAGGTCAGCTGGCAACACAACTGACAGGTGAGCTCCAGGAGGAGAACATAACTAAATGTACCTTGTATAAAAACAGGCTGAACCTTAACGCCTCATCTATGGAATCTAAGTTTCCTCAGGATATGCAGAGTCCATTGGGAACACTCCTCACCCTGTGGCATCCAGGAACACACAGGCATCGTCAGTTCTGCAGAGCAGGTAATTGGTTTGGCATCTGGTAGAGGGGTAGGTAGACAGCCACATGGATATAGAAAGGGACTGTGTGTGTGGGTTGGATAGGAGAGCCACTGGGACATCTAGACCCCTGGCCACTGGCCCCATAAAACCTTACTTCTGCTTTGCAACGCAAGCTCCTTGCAAACTTCTGATCATGCTCCTACCTGCTAACACACAACAAAGCTTCCCAGGTGCACCCTCAAAACAATGACAGGAAATGTTTTTAGTGCTACACTCCTCTAGATCCGATGAAGCTATTTTTAACCATCTTCTCAGACTTAATTTCCAGTTTTATCCTATAAGTTTTAATTGATTTCACCTCCCTTGATCTCTCACTTGATGAGGCTGTGAAGAACATCAGGCAGCTTCTGATGGGTCTGAAGTGGGATTTTAAATCTTTGCTCATGGCTCACATCTAAAGACTCCAAAATGCCTGTGTGCTCTGCCTGGGCATCCTGCACCCTCCACACACTGACATATGGCCTCTCCTTTATCTGCTTCCACTAGTGTGCCTAAGATGTGCAGTTCTCGTTGGGATATGGGACACACCACATGGGATGTGACACGATGTGGTACTTTTCCCACTTAGATATTGAGGCAAAGAGAGGATGCTATGCCATGTCGGCTCCACTTTGTTTAGAGACATGCAGGATCCTCTGCACCCCTGCTGCGGTCTAGGGATAGTTCATCTCAAATTCCCCAGCATTTACACCAAGGGAGATAGGGATTTGCAGAGTCCCTATCTGGCACCAAGAGCCAAGAAACCAAGGAGTTGTCAGACCTGCCCTGCCCTGGACCACTGAATGCTACATGCCAGTCACTCTGGTCCTTCCTCAGTCCCCAGACATGGCCCCTGCTTCCCTGAGTTCTGCAGGCCACTGCTTCCTCTCCAGGGCACTCTCCCTCTCTCAGGTGAGATGCCCCACTGACCATTCTCCCAGCACTGGCTATCACCTCTTGTGCAGGCATTTTGCTCCTGAGGTTGATGCAGGTGTGTTATGAGCTGCTAATGTAAGTCCCAGAGTGCAGCTTGCAGCTGCCTTGCTGGTGAGGGTCACAGTCAGGGCCACAGCGAACATTCGTTGACCAGGCCACTTCTTAGCTTGGCTCGGTATGAACAATTCACAGAAATTCATCTCCCTTAATCTTCACCACAAACAAGAAAGGCAAGGCCCACAATCACTTGCATATTAGATACATCATGCACCAAGGTTTACAAAACTGAAGGGATTTCCTAAGGATGCTTGAAGGGTAAGGAATAGTGCTAGACTCAAAGCCAGGCTCTTGGGAAGTCTCAACTCACTGCCTACAGTGAGTCCCTAGGGTGCCCACCCAGCAAGCGGTGACACAAGCAGTGTTTCTTTCAAAGCTCTGTGTTGCTCCAGGCGATATCTGGGAGGGCACACTCTGGCGGGACTATGTGCTGATAATTTTGGAATCTAGTGGCCTAGGCAGGGCTTGGATGACTTCAAGAGCCAGAATCCCAGAGCAGGTATTGCTATTTCATTAATTTGGACTGGAAAATAGATCCATTATATTTTTTAAAAGTCCAACATCTACTGGCCAATGTCAGATGATCCAAAAGCAAGACCAAATGTGGAATGGGTGAACTCCCATCATGGCCTACCTGGGTGAGAACGTCCAGCTGGCCCACGATGTGCTCCAGCGTGCTGGTCAGCGTCTGGGGCATGCTGATGGGTTCCTGGGGCTGGGTTGGCACGGACTCCGGACTCCTGCCTCTGCCTGTGGGAATGGGAAGGTCCACTTCTGGCTAGAGGCAAAAAGAAAAGGTCCCTCAGTCTATTCAGCACTTGAAGAAACATGGAGGGAGGAATAGCTCTTCTAATGGATTACATGCAAAACCACAAGCTAAACAAAACAAAACAAAACTTCCAATTGTTATTAAGAAACAGTAATGTGGCAGGGTTTCCACATCCAGGTCCACACAACCACCTTTCCCAGAGGAAGCCACGAGTAGAGAGCAGCAGCACCCTACCATCTAGCCTGCTGGACAAATGAACAGGTGGGCCAGGATAAGCATGGCCTGCTCTCAAAGGCATACAAGAAGGCTGGCTCATCTCCCAGTTTTCTACACAGGGTGCACCCTCCAGCAGGCAGCCTGATAAGGCACTAAAGTCTCCAGGCCCTGGAGTCATCTCTCCTCACAGCAAGCCAACACCAATTCCCCCAACACAGGATAGCTCCAGTGCTACCACAGGTGTCCCAGGGGCTTAGCAACTATTCACCAGAATTAAGGGTAAGGGGCTGTTCAAGCCCCATCCTAACCCAGATCCCATGAAAACAAAGGTTTCTGTGTGACTCTCCTAGCCAGGTGGATGTCAAATGTTGCAACTGAGAATCCAGACAGACAACACTGGGCTATTTCCAACAGGACTCCAGGAACATGAAACACTTAATGCTTCTGCCTAAGGCTTTCACCCCCGCAAAATCAGCAAAGCTGGATCCTGTTCTATACATAGATGTCTCCTGACCCAGGAAGTACTGTGCACGTGTTCAGCTGGCACGATGCCCCAGCCATGGGTGCCGGAGGGCAGGCCGGCGGATGACCAGTTCTGGTTTTAAAGCCTGAAATTCCTCTGTGGAATTGTTCCCTGGGGAATTGCCCTGCTCACTCTTGGCCAGCTGCAAAGCCTCAGTGACCCATAAATACTGCCGCATTTGGGGCTGGACTTTAAACCACTATTTTACTAATGGACATTCCAAATGTTAGCATATCATCCCTCAGCTCTGCCAGTGCCTCTAGGGCTCCCTGCCGCCTGTGGGAGCAATTCCAAGTCCCTTAGCAAGGCACTCCAATCCAGCCCGCCTCCTTTCACAGCTCCCCTCCTGCCTCTGCATCTCTGCACCCAATTCATGCCCTCTCTCTCTCTGTCCCCAGCATCCCATTCACCCTGTGCCTCTCTACTTTCCACTAATAATCAGAAGCCCTTCCTTGGGTCTGCCCTGTCCCTCCAGCCACTGCATCTCCTGCACCAGAGGCAGAACACATGAGTGGATGAATTAGTGCTGCCTGCCTGCAGGGGCCACCACCTGCACAGCAACCTGTACCTCTTTGACCTCCTGCTTGCACACATCATTCTTCCTCTCACCACGGGATTAAAAGCCTACAAATACCTATGTACCACAGAGCCAAAGCTATTTTACCCGTAGCCCAGCTTACCCAAGTCCCCACCACCACTGCCATTTAAGGACACACGCTATGACCAGGGCTCACCCAGGATGCCTGCAGACCCACGATCAGCAGCCAGCTTGCTTCTCCTTTGAGTCTCTTATCTCTTAAACTAACCAGTGGCAGCCTAGCCCTAGGAAGATCCTCTTGCATTGGACACACTCACCTGGGCAGACATCAGAGTGCTTGAAAGAAACTGGCTCAGGAAAAGGATCAACCGAACTGATGGAAGAATACCAAAAGGGCAGTTTAGCATGTAGACCCACTGGCCTAGGAGATGTGACCAAAAAATGCAGTTTTTTAAAAAAAAATTTGTAACAGTAAAAGACACATTGCCATAAATCCCCTTCAAAAAGTTCCTCCTTGCTTCAAACACACTTATTCCACTGTTCTTGCCACCTCTGGAAGCAGTTTTACTTATGCTGCCGTGGCTGCCTCAATAGCTTGCATCTATTCCAAATGTTTACCTTTTGTGGTCGGTCTGACTTTGGGAAGAGACAGGATTCGTGTGGCGCCAGATCTGGTGAGCAAGTGGTGGGTACATCCTTCGTGTTTAAATGAGCCTGCCTTCCAGCTGAACAGCTGCTGACAGCGGCATTCACCAATATCACAATTTGTAAAAACACTCAGGAAAGATTTCCAGAACTGCTTCAGAAAGTGGCAAGAAAGACGGGGTAAGTGTTTGAAGAGGGGGTTCAAGGCATTTTACTGTAATGAATTTCTAAAACTTTAAACATTCACTGTATATTTTGATCACACTGCCTATTCTTTTTAGTTAGTAAAGAGTTCTAGTTTCATAAGTCACAAACTCTCAAGGACAGAGTAATAGGAACTTGGAAAAGTCTAGGCCCTCATAGGTAAAGGAGAAGCTGAATGTGAGAGACAGCCAGCGGGATGATGTTCCTGAGGATAGAAGCAGCATGATCACGTGACCTCATCAGCATGTCTGCTACATTCTATGACCCCTCACTAAGGCCTTAGCCACCAAGGCTGGGCCCTTCCTGTCTTCCAGGAGTCAATGCACTTTGGGTCTCAACATGAAACTTGCTCCAAAAGGAAACATTTCAGGAAGTTGTCAGCCTTGCCATGACAGTCTTTAGCCCAACACAGTGCCCCGGGGCTCAAGCAGTTCCACTGGGCAAGACAGCAGAGTACAGTGGAGAAGAATAGTGACTCAGGCCTTGGCTGAAATCCAGTCTCCGGTACTGACAAGCAAGGGAGTTGTGGGTAAGAAGTGGACTTTCTTGGGCCTCTGCTTCCTCATCTATAAAACTGGGGCAGGCAATGACTAAGCAGCCTACAAGGGGGTAGGCTACAAGAGTGCTCATCTGAAGTCACCAGCAGGCCCTCGGAAATGTTCACAGTCCTGTGGCTACTCCTCCTGCACAGAAACACCCTTCCCCTAGACACTCAGTCTGTACAGCTCTTCCAGGGAAGGCCACTGGAGGAAGGGTGTGGCTCTTCTGTCCCGGTAGCAGGCATCTTTATGAGGTGGTCCAAATGGGTACTGCCTGCTGCCTGGGAAGAGGGAATGGAAATTCTGAGTGTTTCTGCAGAACCGCTCAGAAACTGCAGGTGCAGACAGAGCACCACCAGTGCTCCTTCTGAGTCAGAGCCCAGTAGGCCCAAAGGGGCACCATAGACACAGAGCCAGTGGAACAGGAATACCTATGAAGGGGAACTGAAAAATACAGTGAACTTTTTTCTTTTTCTAAATTTACAATTTTTTATTTATTTTAAAAATGTATTACAGGAGCCAGGGACATAGCTCAGAGGCATCAGTGCCTGCCTGGCAAGTGCAAAGTCCTGAGTTTGATTCCTGGTATTAAAAAAATTTACTGCAGTAAAAGACATACTGCCATTGATCCCATCGAAGTGTTCCCCCTCACTTCAAACACATTTATTCCATTGTTATTGCTACTTTTGGAAACAGTTCTGGAAATCATTTTTCCTGAATGTCTTTACTTGCATTACTGTGGCTATCTCAATGTCCTGAATCAATTCAAAATGTTTGCCTTTCATGGTCATTTTCACTTTGGGAAAAAGTCAAAAGCTGCATGGTGGCAGAACTGGTGATAAGGTAGATAAGGACACAGATATTTTACAAGCTTGCTTTCTATCAGATGGCACTTAGCAGCAGCATTCATTGTATTTTTTATCTTGTAAAGGCACACAGGAAAGAGGACTCTGGTACTGCTTCAAAAAGTGGCAAGAACAAGCCAGGTGTAGTCAAGTAAGCCTGTAATCCCAGCACTCAGGAGGCTGAGGCAGGAGGACTGCCAAGAGTTTAAGGTCAGCCTCAGCATATAGTGAGTTCAAAGTCAGCCTGAACTATACACACAGCAAGATCCTATCTCAGAAAAAGATTAAAAAAAAAAAAAAGAAAAATGGCCAGAACACTGTGTGTTTGAAACAAGTATTTTGAGGAGGACTAACGGCAACATATCTTATAGCAGAATTTTTGTATTTAAACAGTAACTGTTTTGAGAGGCCCTTGTATATCATGCTCTTACAGGCTGGCGCCACACTGCTAAGACAGGAATGACTTTGAAAGTCCCTTGGCTCAACCCCCAGGACTACCTGGAGCCACTCTTCTACCTTTAGAGAAGGCATAGCAATACTGAACGTTTTACCAGTCTGGTGACACCTGTGGTTTACTTGTCACCTACTATGTGCCCTCTCTTGGTGTCACCTGGCTTAATACACACCACCTCATGAAATCCTTCTGATGGCCCTTTGATACAAGGACCACGAACTTTACCTTTCAGACATAAAAACCAGGTTGAGAAGTTAAGTAACCTGCTCTAAGTCACCTAGCAAATGAGAGCTAGGATCTGAACCCAAGTGCAGACTCTTCAGACAGCTTTTGGCAGACAACACTAGCTCTCAGGAAACCTCCCAGTATTCTCAGTTCCTAAGCACTCCAGTTGCTCACACTACCTATACTCCTGCATTCTGGAGCTGGTACACTTCCAGCAGAGCGCAACAATAAGTGAGAAAGCAGGAGCGTGAGTAACAACTTGGACAGAATAACCATAGCACCATGCACAGGGGAAATCGTACTGGCATTTTGTTTGTTCAGCATCAAAGGGTCCTCACGGGATTTCATCTAGTGGTTCTTGGTCAGGTGTATCATAAGTAAAACTGTAACAAGGATTAACCCCACACACAAATCTATGGTAAGTCAACAACTTTTACTTTCATCTGATATAAACACCTTAGTATCAAAAGAAACAAATCTCAAAAGATGGATCAATTGGACTTTGTGGAAATTTTACTTAGGATCTGCAGGTGTCCCTTTTCCCCCTAGCCTGGTGTGGGAAAAGACTGTCTTCCTGGATTCCTACTTTCTCACCTTCCTGTCATATACCATGAGGAGCCAGCACTTGCATTCGGATCTGTGGCTGAGGCTGTCACTCAAACACATGGGAAATCAGCCTGTAAACTTCATTAAAAACAAACCAGAGGGCTTGTGGGTCTTCCTGATGACAAGAAATCGACCTGTCTGGGGCCATCTTTATGCCTGGTCTTTGGATTGACTATGGTCTCACTTTTTCATATCATCTGTGCAAGATATTGGGTGTTGAGGAGGTGTTAAACTCAACTTAAACAACACCACAAAAATCACAATCTTTTCTTCAGTTAGGGAACAACCCACTAGCCTGATGCTAAGGAAAAGACAGACATTGCCAAGAACCAGTAAGGAGCGAACACCACTGGCAGCTCACCTGTGGCAAAGCAAAGTAACATGAGACACGAGTGCCATACAAATGGGCAGCAAATGAGACACAGGTTCTAGCAAATTGCTAGAGGCCAAATGTGGATGAGGTAAGAGCGAGAACTCCTGGGAGCCACAGACAAGTTCTTCTCTACAGACCTACACTACACTGTGCATCACCCGAAAGACTGGTGAGGAAAGAGGGTAGGAATATTATTGGGAGAAAATCAGGCTCAGGGTGCAGGCCTAGAAGAGGGGTGTGGGCACAGAAAAGCCATGAAGTCTGGCTGGGGTCTTTCTGCCCTCCAGAACAATGCTAAAAGGGGAAGGACAAGTTAACAAGTAAAAACCCTGTGGTCCTGGGGAGGGGGAGTAACCCATCCTGACCCATTATCCTTGAGGTGGCCTGAGGCTGAGCGGGGCAGGACTACTGAACAGGACTCACTTCTGGGATCCAGGGACACAAGTCGTGACTGAGACCAAAGTTGGGTCAGGACAATAGAGAATTCCTGGGGAAGCTAGCAGACCTAAGTATGAAGTAACAGTAGCCTACTATGGAGAGAAGCAAAGCATGACAAAGAGCATGCCTTCCCAGGGGTAAGTTCACAGGGAAAGTGAAAGCTGAGGTGCAGCAGGAACACTCAGGCCTCAGGCCTCACCCTAAGTACAGAGCGAGGTAACAAGAAACTAAGCTCGTGCCCTGAAAAGATACTTACCTTAGCCTCCACTCTCCTAGACACAATGTCAGATACAAAAGGCAAAAGTGCCACCGCAGTAAGGCAGAGCAATCAACAGAAGATGACTCAGATGCTGGCACTAACGGGCAGAATTTATAATAACTATGATGGTGTGTGTGTGTGTGTGTATGTGTGTATAAGTTTTGGTGCTGGGAATTGAACCCTTGGTTGTTCACATGGAAGGTATGCACTCTACCACTGAGCTACATTCCCAGCCCAATAACTGTGATTACTATGTTAAAGGTTACCTGGGTACATACTTCTAATCCTAGCACTCTGGGGAGGCTAAGACAGGAGGATTGCAAAGTTCCAGCCCAGGCTGGTCAACTTTGTGAGACCCTGTTTCAAAATTAAAAAAAAAAAAAAAGGACCTACAGATACAGCCTGTTGTGAAAGCTCCTGGGTTCAGTACCCATGACTGGGGGAAAAATGAAAGAAAAAAATTAAGATTCTATTGAAAATACACATGAACACACAAAAAATTTCAGCAGGATGACAGAAACTGTTAAAGAGTCAAACAAATTCAGTAAGAAACCTAGTGGTTCAGACCAAGAAAGGTTTTGATGGGCTATCAGTAAGTCCTATCCAGTTGAGGAAAACAAATCAATGTGTGTGTGGTTTTTTTTTTTTTGGTCTTACTGGGGATTGAGCCCAGAGCCCACACACTAGGTAAGCACCTTACCAGTCCTTTATTTTTAATTTTTATTTCTGAGGCAGGATCTTGCCTAATTGTCTAAGCTGGCCTCAAACTTTATTGTCTTGCCTGAGCTTTCTGAGTAGCTGGGACTGAAGGAGTTTATTACTCTTTTAACCCCAGAATCAATTATCTTAATAATCAATTCCTCAAACTGAAGCACAGAAAGCCAGAAAACAAACAACAAAACCAGACCAGAGCATCTATAAGCTAAGCGACAATATCAAATTGTCTAATGAATGTAAAACTGGGAATTAGAAGGAGAAAAGACAAAAAAAAAAAAAAAAGATCTTTTTTAAGGAAACATTTGCTAGAATGAACTCTTTCAATTTTTATTTGCAAAAGTCTTTAGAATAAAAACTTCATTGCATAGAATTTTGGGTTGGTTTCTTTCAATACTTTAAAGATGGTTTGTAGTTTCATGTGAGAATTCTTCATAATTCTTACTTTTGATCCATCATGTGTAATTTGTCTTTTTCCTTTGTTTCCCTTCCAAAGT